TTATAAAATGATTAATTACATAATTAATAGAAATATATTAATATTTATGGATTACGAGAAACTGGAAAATGGATGTGTTTGGATGTTATTGGGCTGAAGAGGGATTTATCAAATGATTTCAGGGAAACAAAAAGTTTTTAAAAAAAGTCAAAGAGAAGGTGGTTTAACTGTTCAATTGACTTTGTGGAAAGTGTGTTCAGCAAAGCTTTTAAGAAAAACCAGAAGATAGATCCATGGCCTAATTATTGGGCAACGGTCTTGGGGTAAACAAACCTTTGGATCTATGCCGGAGGTTGCCGAGCAACGGTCTCTGAACAAAGGCTTTTTTTTTCCACTACACACTTAGATGTGGCAGCTGTGGTGAGACATGGAAGGAGACACCGTTCTATTCTCTCTCAGTTATTCAGAGAAAAACCCTGGAAGCAAAACCAGCTAAAAAGCTCTTTCTATCTCAATGAACTAGCTTGAGAAACCTGATAAAGTTTCAATCAGGAGTCCATTTCCAACTGAATCTGAAATCTGGTCTGAAGATCTTTAGTCATTCTGCAACTGTCAGCAATCAGATCTCGTCAACAGGAAATCAAAGATGCTGCAAAGTCAACCAACTCTATCTTCTAAATTCGAACCATTGACCTACAGGCTTGCTGGTTCTTTTTTGCCTACTTCTGAAACACATGATATTTCTGCTTAGCTGTGTTGTCTTATCTGTGTATGAATGTGTGTAGGTTTAAAGGGATATACTTTAAGTCTGCTATGTAGCTTAGAAAATTACACGTTTTGCCACTTGTTTTTAATAAAGAAATTATTTTTGAATTTATTGAAGAAAACCTGGGGAAATCTTTTTATTCCCCAGATAATAATGATAAAAATAAATAAATTAACCATTATGGAGATTAAATAAAACATTGACACTTTTAGTATGGCTCAGAGTAGCAGGGCATGCTTGATTACCAGTGCACTCTTCAGTTAGAGCTGGAACATGATTAATTAAGACACAATAAAGATGTAGGCCAAGTGACATCATGCATTTGCAGAATATGGATTTCTCCTGGATGGCAGTGTGATCCAGGATAAACGTGTGCAGTAAGTACCTGCAACTTAAGTGACTTCAATTCAGAGTTTACGAGCTGGAGGCTGAACTACAGACACTACATCACATCAAGGAGGAGGAAAATTACATGGACACTTTATCTGTACCAATGAAAAGGGAGGACAAAGGAGGTTCCATTGTATCAATGAGGAGCTAGGCGCCAAATCAAGAAGCAGAATCTCAACCTCTGTTTTATTAGCTCACTTACATGCAAATTGACATATGGCAAATCAGATTTGAGAAATAAATGAGTGGCTCAAAAACCAGTGCAGTAGAAGTGGTTTCCAGTTGTGAGGCACTAGGGAAAAGTGCAGGCTCTACTGTTGTAATGTTCTATACATGAACTATGCTGGAACCAACTTTTTAGTGAGTCATATAACCAGGGAGTTTACAAACTAAACTAAAAAGCAGCAACAAATGATTATATTTGGGAATATGTGGTAAATCAAAGAATAGAGATCAGGCAGGAGAGAAAGGTATTTGTCTGGGAAATGACAAACCGACTGAGACAAGTGTAGGACAAGGAGGGAGTTTGATGTTTCATGATTAGTTTTGTTTAATTAAACGGCCCAACCAAACTGGTGTGCCTTTGTTTAAGTATGTTTTTAGCACCTTACTTATATGCAAGATGAAAAACATCAACTTATCTCCTCTTAGCATGCTTAAAATTACACAATATTATTATATTATCCTGCTCAACTGCAACCAATGTAAACTTCAGCACTTTAATATCACACAACTCTCTCCAGTCTCACTTGATAAAGAAATAGACCATGGCATTTTGAACAGAATAAGGGTAACACACTATTGAGTTCATTATAAGACAGAGGTTTTGAGATCTCTGTTCAATTCACTTCTAGATCACAGACCTGCATTATAAAAACTTGCAACCTTAAAATTTGCACAGGCAAATTCACATCATCTCAACATGTTAAATCTTTATCAAAAAACCTGCTAAATATCAATAAAGCAGGGCTAGGAGAAGTCTACTGTGGGGGAAAAAAGGAGCAACAAGAAAATAGCAGTCATGTTCTACATTAACTCTTCAGTTTAGTTCAGTATTTTGTAAAAAGAGCAATCCTACTTTGCTAGATGTATTTTTTATTATTTTATTAGAGTTTAGTTCTGCAATAATGTGTATTTATAAGGAGATCTCACTACACCTTTTATACACTGATACTTTATATACAGTCTGTAAAACTTTGAAGCAGTACTTACATTGTAATTTGTCTGCATTCGTATTTGTGATCTTCAGTATTTGTGTTATATAGGTTTAAGATTACAAATAATCTTTCCACTACGTCCTTTGTCTTAAAAGTAAGAAAACTCATTCCCTAGCTCCATAAACAGTCAGAACCATCACCCAAAAAACATCCAGCAAACAGTCATTGACAGAGGTTTGACTTAATGAGGAACTTGCACCAGTCTTGAACTAGGGGGTCATAACTCAAAAAAAAAGGGGACACTCATCTAAGACGGATGACGAAACATTTATTCCTCCTAGAAGGTTGTGTCTCTTTGGAAGTCCCTTCCTCAAAAGATAATGGATGCAGGTTCTTTAAATATTTGTAAGGCATAGGTAGATAAACTCTTGATTACCAAGGGGATGAAAAATGATCAGGGATATGCAGGATGTAGAGTTGAGGTTAAAATCAGATCAGACATGATCTTACTGAGTGGAAGAGCAGGCTTGAAGGGCTGAGTGGCCTAATCTTGTTCCTTGTTTGTATGTTTGTGATTAAGCAAAATAAAGACAATGAGCTCAAAGTATCAACCATGAGGTCTAGACAGCATTCATCTTTCTATCCTAAACAAATTGGCAAGAAAAATATCAAATATCCTTTTATCTTATCAAGGAGTCAAAAGAACAGAGACCAACAATAACAAGAAGGGTGATCCTCTGAGTAATTGGTGTCACCATAATTCTACTGGGCCATAGGGTTGCTCTCTCATTAGTGACAGATGACTGGTGGTGGTTTAACCAGAGGGTCACCACTCCTCAGGTGAGGGACAAGGTTGAGAATAAGAGTCCTTCATGGTAACCTCAGGTGGTGTGAGAACTGAACCCACGTGGATGGGGTTACTCTGATTTGCAGAACCCAACACATGACCACTTGCACACCAAGCAGAATAAGGAGCATGCGCTAAGGGATTGCATAACCAACGGTTTAGATCAAAGCTCTGTTGTTGTGCTACATCCAGCCAAAAATGGTGGAGGGCAATTAAAGAACTTACTGGAGGAGATGACGCCACAAATATCTCCGAGTTCTGAAGAAGGGTCACTGGACTCAAAAATGTTAACTCTGCTTTCTCTCCACACATCCTACCTGACCTGCTGAGTTTCTACAACAATTTCTGAATGTTTTCAGTTTTCTAGCATCTGCAGTTGTTTATTTTATCAACAAATATCTCCATCCTCAAAAATGGTGAGCCCAGCACATCAGTGCAAAAGTGCAAGAACCTCAGCCAGAGGTGATGAACAGGTGCATTTCAGCATTCTCCAGTGGTCGTCAGCAACACAGACAGTAATCTTCAATCAATTCTATTCACTCCACAGGATAACAAGAAATAGGCGAAAGCACAGATACAACCTTGACAAGAGTCGATGGGAATCCAAGGACTGGAGTCTTACTGAGCACAAATGATGATGATTTTGGTTGCTTCAATTCAATCATCTTAACCACAAGACATCAGTACAGGAGTTCCTCAGGGTGCTGTTTGGGCCCAGATATTTTAGCTGCTTCAATGACCTTCTTTCCTCATAGGGTCAGCTGTGTGGATGATTGTTGATGATCACATTTCACCACTTCACCTCCTCAGATTCCTAAGCAGTCCATGTCCAACTGCAACAAGACTTGACAACATTCAGCTTGAGCTGGTAAATGTTACTTGCCATTTATGCCACACAAGTGCCAAACAATGATCATCTCCAACAAAAGAGAATCTAATCATCTATGATACTCAATGGATGACCATCACTGAACTCCCACTCTATCAAAATCCTGGCATTACCATTGACCAGAAACTAAACTTGACTGGTCACATAAATATAGCAGCTACAACTGAAGGTCAGAGGCTGAGATTACTACTGGGAGTAACTAACTGATCTCCTGATTCTTCAAAGTCTGCCCACCATCTAAAGGCACATGTCAGGTTGTGATGGATTTTTCATCACTTGCTTACATGGGTAGGACTCCGACAACACTCAAAAAGGATCACACCATCTGAGACAAAGCACTGCATTTCACTGGCATGCCTTCCACTACCTTAAACATTCACTCCCTTCACTACCCAGGAACATTGGCAGTACTTCACATCTAGAAGGAGTGCTGCAGAACTAACCAAGCCTCTTTTGACAGCACCTTCCTAACTAGCATACTCTACCACTTAGGACAAGGGCAGCAGTCACAGGGAACGCCAGTATCTGTACGTTTTCCTTCAAGCTACACAGCATCCTTCTTGTAATTACACCTTCCTTTGCTGTTACAGAATCAAAATCCCGAAACTCCTTCTCAGCAGCATTGCCTACACGAGATAGGCTGCAGTGGTTCAAGAAGATGGCTCAGCAACACTTTTGCAAATGTCATTAAAGATGCAAGACAAATGCTGGCTATGCCAGTGACACGCTGCCTAGACTGATAGCATGTCGATCAGATTCATGTCAACAGCAGAGGATTCAACCCCCGATCAAGATGAGATAATCGTGGGGCCTGTGTCCTCACTTGAACATAGATCAGCTACTCCCTAACAAACCTGCCGAATAAGCCTTTAGATTTATGGCTGAGCAAAATGACTATTTCCCCATCAATAAATGTCTTTAGTAACTCTGTCAGATGAATGTCAATATTCTAGAATAGTTAAATTATTCTATTTCACAAGATTCTAAATGCAACAGTGCCCAAATACTTACCCGTCCCCTTTCTGTAAGGGTTGTTAACATGACAATTAAAGATGAACTTTGCTCCCAAACTGTTTGCCAAAAATGCGGACAGGTATGTGGAAGTGGACCTTGGGATGCTATGTACTTATTTTGGATAGCGGTACTGCAAATTTCCATCTGTAAAAGGAGAAAATTCAAACATTATAGTGATGCAGGTCATGTTAGTACAATTAACAAGATATTAACCCCAGTGGTGGACTCGGGACTCAAAGTCCAGTGCCAACTCCCAGCCTCGGGGGCCCGAAGCCCAGTGCTGACTCCTGGTCTCGGGGGCCTGAAGCCCAGCGTCGACTCTTCTGCTTTCCTTCTGCTTTCTCTTTCTGCGCTTTAAGACAGTATTGCTGAACTTTTAACTTTATTTTTTAAATTTATGCTTAAGATTTTGTACTTTGGCACCTTCGTACCCAAGATGGTGCCAGAAATGGTGACTTTGTACACTTTTCACTGTATTCATGTATCCCTGCCTTTCAGTACATGACAATAAAAACTATATCTAATATTTTCCACTCACTCAGTTCATGCATACATCTTGAAACATTTGACATTTTCAAAAATTATTTTTAATTTCAAAAATAATTTATTTATTTTTAAAAAGACTTGCTAGAGACCGACCTTTAACTTCAAAATGATGAAGGTGGAATAGAGTGAGAGTCATACAGCATGGTAACAGACCCTTTGGTCCAAATGGTCCACACCAACCATGTTCCCAAGCTAAACTAGTCCCACCTGCCTGTGGTTGGCCCATATCTCTCCAAACTATTCCTATTCATGTACTTATCCAAATCTCTTTTAAACATTGTAACTGTACCTGCATCCACCACTTCCTTTGGCAGTTCTTTCTGCACACTAACCACAATCTGTCTGAAAATGTTGCCTCTCATGTCCTTTTTAAAACCTTTCTCCTCTCACTTAAAATATGCCCCCAAGTTTTGAACGCTCCCACCCTAGGGAAAAGACCCTTGTCATTCACTTTACCTAAACCCCTCATGATTTTATAAATATTTATAATGTCACTCCTCAATGTCCTACACTTTGAAGAAAGTCCCTGCCTATCCAGCCTATTTTTACAACTCAAACCCTCCATTCCTGGCCACATCCTGGAGATTTTTTTCTGAACCCTATCCAGTTTAATAATATCTTTCCTGTAACAGGGTGACCAGAACTGCACATGGTACTCCAAAAGAGGCCTCACTAATGTCTTGAATAACATCAACATGATATCCTATACTCAAAAGGCCTGAGAATGAAGGCAGCATGCTAAACACCTTCTTTACCGCCCTGTCTACATGTGATGCAAATATCAAGAGTTATGTACCTGAACCCCAGGTCTCTCTGTTCTACAACACTACCCACGGCCCTACTTTTAATTGCGTAAGTCCTGTCCTTGTTCGTTTTACAAGGATGCAATACCTTGCATTTATCCAAATTAAACTCCATCTGGTACTATCAGCCCATTGACTCAGTTGATCATGATCTCTTTGTAATCTTAGATAACCTTCTTTATTGTCTACTATACTACCAATTTTGGTGTCATCCGCAAACTTACTAACCTTGCCTCCTATATGCTCATCCAAATCATTTAAATAAATGACGAACCAAAGTGGGCCCAGCATCAGACCCTGTGGAAGTGTGCTGGTCACAGGCCTCCAGTTCGAAAATCAACCCTTCACCAGCACCCTCTGTCTCCTACTGTAAAGTCAATTTTGTATCCAAATGGCAAGTTCAACCTGAATCCCTGAATTAGTCTGCCATGCAGAACTTTATCAAAGGCTTTATGAAAGTCCAAGTAATTAAGTTTATTACTCCGCCCTCATCAATCCTCTTGGTTACTTCCTCAAAAAACTCAATCAAATTTACCAGACACTGTTTCCCTCACACAAAATATAGTCAAATAACACAATTTATAAGGGGAAACTGAGGAAAAGGTGATGGTGTGCTGTTAATGTCACTGAATTAGTAGTCCAGAAACACAGACTAATGTTTTGGGGACAAAGGTTCAAATTCAATTGCAGATTGAATTTTAATTCAAGAATATCTGGAATACAAAGCAGGCTGATATGAATTGTAAAAGCCATCTGGCTTACCAGTATCCTCCAAGGTAGGAGATCTGCAATTCTAACCTGGACCTTATCTGGCCTGGCCTACTTGTGATTCCACTCGCACAATAACTGGGGAGGCGATGGCCTAGTGGTGTGAGTGCTAGACTATTAATTCAGAAACTCAGCTAAAGTTCTGGGGACCTGGGTTTGAATCTTGCCATGGCAGATCGTGGAATTTGAATTCAATTAAAAAAACTGGAATTAAGAATCTACTGATGACCATGGAACGACTGTTGTTTGTTAGGAAAAACCTATGTGGCTCACAAATGTCCTTTGGGGGAGGAACTCTGCCATCCTCATCTGATCTGGCCTATATGTGACTCCCCACATACAGCAACGTAGTTGACACTTAACTGCTGAAATGGCCTAGCAAGCCGCTCACTTTAAGGGCAGCTAGGGGATGGCAATAAATGCTGGCCAGTCAGTGACATCCAAGTCCCATGAGTGAATAGAGGAAAAAAATAATAACGTTGATCTTAATTACCATCCGGGCAGTTAAGGTTGGCAAATAAATGTTGCTTTTGCCGCCAACAACATGCAACATAGCCAATGTTTAAATGCAACTAATGCCAGATTTTTAAAAAATTCTTTCAAGAGATGTGGGCATCATTGGCATAGCCACCATTTGTTGGCTGTCCCTAATTTCCATTAAACTGAATTGCTTGCTGGGCCTGTAGTTTCTTTGTTACCTACTGATAGATAGCAGATATGAATATAACTGTATGAATGAATGAATATATCTGAAATTGTAGTTCCAAGGTTATCCTCTGGAGATATCTTTAAGAAAAGAGATCAAAGTCTTTAGATATTTCCAAGCTTACTGGAAACAATTAGATTTTGTCATTAATTGCTTATGATTAGAATGGTAAACTGCAGGGTCCCAGGTAAATTCCACACTCGGGCTACTGTCTGTGTGGAGTTTGCACGTTCTCCCTGTGTCTGTGTGCTCCAGTTTCCTCCCAAAGTCCAAAGACGTGCAGGTTAGGTGGATTGCCATACTAAATTGCCCATTGTGTCCAGGAATGTGCAGGCTCGGTGGATTAGCCATGGCAGATGTAAGATTACCCTATCCCTGTAGTCGGATGGTCTGGGTGGGATGCTCTTCGGAGGATTGGTGTGGACTCAATGAGCTAAATGATCTGATTTCACGTTGTAGGGATTTTATGATTCTATGTAATTCTGTTTGTTGATGTCTGAAGTAACTTATTGGCATTTCCATTTCTATATAAAATAGTAACATGATCCATAATTCAGATAACAAGCATTATAATCTTTCTGCAGAAGAAAGAATTTAATTGGAAGAACCTGTTCTGAAGGAGGATCACTGGACCCAAAATGTTAACACTGCTTTCTCTCCATAGGTGCTGTCAGATCTGCTGAGATTTTTCAACAATTTCTATTTGTGTTTCTGATTTCCAGCACGTATGGTTCTTTGATTTTATTTGGTGTGTTGAACTAATTTGATTGTGCCAATCAGATAGTTGTCGTCAGGCCGATGGCTATTGTCATTTGCAACTTCAGAATTATGCTGTTATCTCATGTGTGCTTTAGCAACGATCAGTGAATACATTCTGAAATGGTGTGTTATAACAAAGTTGCACTTCACGATGTGATATTAGTCACCTCAGTTTCTCTGCCCCCTCACCAAATCCAACCTTTCTGCCTCCGAACTGACTGCACTCCGTGTACTTAGATCTAACCCTGACTGTGTTATTAAGCCTGCCGATAAGGGTGGTGCTGTTGTAGTCTGGTGTACTGACCTCTACCTTGCAGAGGCTGAGCGCCAACTCCCAGATACCTCCTCCTACCTTCCCCTGAACCATGACCCCATCATGACACATCAGGCCATTGTATCTGCTACAGATGAAATGAGATCAGTTACTGGTGATCTCCACCGGTCTGCTTCCGAGCTGATAGTATCCCAACCCCGCACAGCGCGCTTCTACCTCCTCCCAAAAATCCACAAACAGGACTGTCCTGGCAGACCCGTTGTTTCAGCCTGCTCCTGCCCCACAGAACTCATCTCTTCCCACCTTGACTCCGTCTTCTCTCCCCCGATCCAGTCCCTGCCCACGTATATCCGTGATTCCTCTGATGCTTTACGCCAGTTTCAAAACTTACAGTTTGCTAGTTCCAACCGCCTCCTCTTCACCATGGATGTGCAATCCCTTTACACATCTATTCCCCACCAGGAGGGTCTCAGGGCTGTCCACTTCTTCCTGGAGCAAAGGCCTGAACCATCCCCACCCACCACCATCCTCCTCCGCTTGGCTGAGCTCGTCCTCACCCTCAACAACTTCTCTCATTTTCTTCAGGTAAGAGGGGTTGGCATGGGTACCTGCATGTGCCCGAGTTATGCCTATCTCTTCGTGGGGTACATGGATCATTCCTTGTTCCAGTCTTATTCCGGACCCCACCCACCACTCTTTCTCTGATACATCCATGATGTCATCAGTGCTGCTTCCCTCTCTCATCTGGAATTGGAAAACTTCATCAATTTCGCCTCCAATTTCCACCCTGCTCTCACTTGCACCTGGTCTTTCCCTGACTCCTCCCTTCCTCGACATCTCTGTTTCCATTTCTGGGGTTAGACTGGCCACCAATATCCACTATAAACCTACTGACTCCCACAACTACCTGGACTATACATCCTCATACCCTACTTCCTGTAAAGACTCCATCCCATTCTCTCAGTTCCTCCGTCTCCATTGTATATGTTCAGATGAGGCCAACTTCAACAAGGGAGCCTCCGAAATGTTCACCTTCTTCCTCAACCAAGGACTCCCCAGCTCCATGGTTGACAGGTCTGGCCCATCTCCTGCACTTTTGCCCTCACCCCTTCTCTTCCCACCCGCAACAGTGATAGGTAAGGACAAGGGGGACTCTATCATCCCACCAGCATCCATGTCCAGAAGATCATCAGGTGCCACTTCCGCCACCTCCAGCAAGATGCCACTACCAGACACAGATTCCTCTCCCCTCCCTTGTCTGCCTTCCGCGACACCATGGTCCACACTTCCTTCACCCCCAACAACTCCCACCCACCCCCCCCACCCCCATAGCACCTTTTCCTGTAACCAGCAAAGATGCAACACCTGCCCATTTACTTCTTCCCTCCCCACTATCCAAGGGCCCAAACATACCTTCCAGGTGAACCAACACTTCACCTGCACTTCCCAGAATCTAGTCTACTGCATTGAGGTCTCCTCTACATTGGGAAAACGAAGCGTAGACTAGGTGACCGCTTCACAGAACATCTACGTTCTGCTCGCAAAAAAGATCCTGAACTACCTGTTGCCTGCCACTTTAACACACCACCCTGCTCCCTAGCCAACATGTCTGTCTCTGGCATGCTGCAGTGTTCCAGCAAACCTCAACGCAAGCTAGAAGAACAACACCTCATTTTCCACTTGGGGACCCTGCAGTCCCCTGGCCTCAATATCGAGTTCAATAATTCTAGGGCCTAAAGTCTCCCATGTCCCAGCCCCCTACCACACACACCAGGCCTTGTTACCACATAGCTTGCCATTACACACTACCTGTTATTAGTTACTAATAGCCCCCATTAACAACTATTCACCCTCCCAACCTGATCGTTAGCAACTCCTTTGTTTGTCCAACTGCTCTTCTCTCTCTTTAGGCTCTATCCTTTCATTTACTCCCTACCCCATCCCCTTCCCCTTCCCCTTTTCTCTGCATATAAACTGACGTTTTCCCAGCCACCATCAGTTCTGAGGAAGGGTCACCGGACCCAAAACATTAACTCTGCTTTCTCTTTCACAGATACTGCCAGACCTGCTGAGCTTTTCCAGCAACTTTGTTTTTGTTGCACTTCACTGACTCAAGTGTCCAAGTTTCCCTATAGAACTTCTGCCATTTGAAGCCCAAGATATAAATAGGTTGTGTTCTACCATTAAAAAAAAACAGAATAAGGTTGTAGACTTGCTCACTGAGCTGGTGTGTTTGGTTGCAGTCATTTCGTCACCGAGCCTCCGGTGAAGCGTCAGCGTTCTGTCCCGCTTGTTATTTATATGCCTCAGTTTGCTGGGGTGGTTGGCATCACTTCCAGTTCTGTTTTTCAGTGGTTTGTATATTAGAACATCAAACACATTGAACTGGACCCGAACCGGAAGTGATGCCAACCACCCCAGGAAACTGAGGCATATAAATAACAAGCAGGACAGAACACCAACGCTTCACCGGAGGCACACTGACGATGTTACCGAGCAGGGTGATGAAACATCAGCAACCAAACACGTTGGCTCAGTGAGCAAGTCTACAACTTCATCCACAACCCCAGCTACAAATCTTCTCAAAAGCTTTAAAAAACAAGATAATTTTTATATCTGTTTTAGTTTTACAGGCTCATCATTAAGACAGGCTCACTGTCAAGAGCACATAACAATTTACTAATCGGTAAAATGGATTTTAACTGCGCTTTATAATCTAGGCTTCTATAAATAGAGCTTCATTTCAATTTGTCAAGTCATTTATTTTGGATTATCTTTGAATCATCAAATGACATTCGATAGCTTGACTGCTTACTAGCAAACATCTTTTGTTAATGTTGTGGATTACTATTGTCCATTCACATGCATACTGATTTGATCTGTATTTTGTATATGGTATTTTTTAAAAGTCAACCTTACTAATTCAGGTGTATGGTTCGTCAAATGCACTAGTTCTGAGCTACCACTGCTCTCAAGGAGGTATAAACTCATGCAGGATAGAGTTTTGCTGGCCTGTATATCTCAATACCATTAAACAATACATTTACAACAGGGGCAGGAATAGACAAATAAGACTGTTTGAGCCTGATCTGCATTCAACATGATCACAGCTGACAATAATAATAATTCACAACATTAACAAGAGATATGTGTGCTTGTAAGCAGTCAAGCTATCTACTGTCATTTGATTATTCAAAGATAATCGAAAATAATTGACTTGACAAATTGAAATGAAGCTCTAGTTGCAGAAGCCTGGATTATAAAGTACAGTTAAAATCCATTCGCTGAGACACCAAAGCCATAGCCATCAATGCATTTTCTCTCACCATATCAAGAACTTTAATACTTACATTAACGTAGCTGCCATTAATATAATCTTCCGATCCATCCAATACAACCCTCGTGACATCATCTGTACAAAAGGGAACAAAAATGAAATTTAAGATTTCCAAAAGTTATTCTTAAAACTTTTTCTTTGCTAATTCATTATAACTATGAAAAGCAGATTTAGGGTCGATTGTTTTTAGTTCACTGAAAAATAACGCAATTACTTTTGCCCTTAACGAACAAATGCATATCGTTAATATAAATTAACCAAGAAACAACTGTATAGCACTCACATGGCAATACATCTTTGTATCTGTTTTTGTCCATATTTTGTGCCATCTTTGCATGTGAGATAGCCATTCCAGGTCTTTTTCTGTACAGTTGCTTGAAAACAAAGTTTGAAAAATATTAGATTTAACCTATAGGAGTTTTCACATTTACTTGTCTTATTGTTCCAATGTAAAGCTTGCTGATATCTTTAGCACTTTTTCCTTCTGTTACTTCAGACTTTTCAACCTCTCAGTACGGGAAATAATGGCATTTCCCTTAGGGATTCTGCTTCACTTTCTTTCAAGAAGAAGACAAGGATGAAAAGAAGCAATACAAAGACGTCTTACTTCAAGTTTCCTCAAACTCCTTTCTTCTTATGATAAGACTCAATCCTGAAATTTCTGTAGGCATCTATTGCCCTGCATGGTCTGGTTATACATCTCACTCTTACAAACACTGAAATCTGTTTGCCTTACCATGTTGCTAAATGCCCTGAGGTGTTTGAACAAAGTGTGGTAAACCTTCCACACAGTATTAAGCTCCTGTCCTGATATAAATTAAAATTGATAACTAATAAATAAAGAGGAAGAGCTCTGGCGGAACTGACTTCTGACCTTGTCCACCCCAGTCCAACACTGGCATCTCCACTTCATTGATTCAGTAGCAACTACACACCACAAGAGTGAGACTATTTGTGAGAAGGAAAAAAAAAACCTCATTAAATAAGGAGAAGTTAAGTTAGTGAGAAGGGACAAGTCAGCTAAATGCTACCTGTATGAGGTTGATTATTAACTTTTATTTAACTATATAATGCAGAATTGTGTATGCTATATACACTGACATCATATTAGCATTCCAAGGAAGCAAATGGTCAGATTCTCTCATGAGATAACTAGGTGTAGAGCTGGATGAACACAACAGGCCAAGCAGCATCAGAGGAGCAGGAAGGCTGACGTTTCGGGTCTGGACCCTTCTTCAGAAATGGTGGGGGGGGGTGGATTCTGAAATTAATAGAGAGAGGGGGAGGCAGATAGAAGATGGGTAAAGGAGCAGATAGGTGGAGAGGAGAAGGACAGGTCAAAGAGGCGGGGATGGAGCCAGTGAAGGGAGTTACAGTGGGGGTTGGTCAGTCCAGGGAAGACAGACAGGTCAAGGAGGCGGGGATGAGGCTGGTAGGTCGGAGGTGGGGGTGGGGGGTTAAGGTGGGAGGAGTGGATAGGTGGGAGAAAGGACGGACAGGTTAGGGAGGCGGGGACGAGCTTGGCTGGTTGTAGGATGAGGTCGGGGGTTGGGAGATTTTGAAGCTTGTGAAGTCCACATTGATACCATTGGGCTGCAGGGTTCCCAAGGGAAATAGGTGCTGTTCCTGCAACCTTCAGGTGGCATCGTTGTGGCACTGCAGGAGGCCCAGGATGGACATGTCGTCCAAAGAGTGGGAGGGGGAGCTGAAGTGATTCGCAACTGGGAGGTGCAGTCGTTTGTCACAAACCGAGCGTAGGTCTTCCACAAAGTGGTCTCCAAGCCTCCGCTTGGTTTCCCCTATGTAGAGGAGGCCACATCGGGAACAGCGGATACAGTATACCACATTAGCAGATGTGCAGGTGAACATCTGTTTGATGTGGAAGGTTTTCTTCCGTTTTGGTTGTTATTGCGGGGAGGGGGTGTGAGGTATGAGTTGTGGTCGATGGCATTTTCGACCACCGTGGAGGGGAAGTTGCGGTCCTTGAAAAACGAGGACATCTGGGATGTCCGGGAGTGCAATGCCTCATCTCGGGAGCAGATGCAGCAGAGGCGAAGGAATTGGAAATAGGGGATGGCATTTTTGCAGGAAGGTGGGTGGGAGGTGGTGTATTCTAGGTAGCTGTGGGAGTCGGTTGGCTTGAAATGGATATCGGTTTCCAGGTGGTTGCCAGAGATGGAAACAGAGAGGTCCAGGAAGGAGAGAGAGGTATCAGAGATGGTCCAGGTGAACTTAAGGTTGGGGTGGAAGGTGTTAATGAAGTGGATGAACTGTTAGAGCTCCTCGTGGGTTCTCTCATGAGTTTGATTTGACCATGAGCATCAGGAAGATAGATGTCATGCTCCAGGATGTTGCTTATTGATGGCTATCTAACGATGACGATGTAAACTGGAGTTGTTGATAGCTTTTTGTATCTAGGCTCCATAATCACTAACAATCTATTACTTGATGCTAAAATGAGTAAATGCATTACAAAAACTACAGGTGTCCAAGATAAGCATGAGTGTGCAGATTAATAACATATTAACTATGAATACCAAATAATAAGTTACAAAGCCAGCATTCTCTGCACACTCATCCAAAGTAGCAAGAGTGGTAACGAAAGAAGATACTGAACAACCTCCACTTTTGCTGTCTTAGCTTTAGCATCCCCTGGTAGGACAAGGTCACAAATTGATTGTGATAACTCCAACAGCATACACTTATTATTATGCCAACACTGTTGGCTACCTTCATCAGATGGGCATCATTATATGAATAGCCATACTTATGCCAATGGTCATGACCTCTGAAGGCTGACTCTTAACAAGGGCACAGGGAGGGGAAGAACAGAAGACTTAGCTGGTCAAAAAGAGGGACTGGGGAAAACAGACTCGTGATTCCTCCATGCATTGGGAACAACCTTCATTCATGTATCTCTTTCTCAGCATGTGGATCTTACAGCAAAGGAACTAGTGCATAGATTTTGAATGGAATTAAATTTATACGCCATGATGTATAACGGCATAATACACAATGAACCAACTTCATTTTCACTTTGAAGGTCACTAGTCCAATCAGCTAGATGGCTTTCATATCTCATAATTCTTGTAAAAATATCTCACTTCAAGAATCACTCCTCCTAGCAATGTGACTTGATGCAATTCAATTTCAGCAGCCAATTGAATACAAATAACTACACAGAATAATAACGAAGTTGTAATAATCTCAGAGAATGCTCTCTCATTAGAGAGATGACTGGTGATGGGTTTATCCTGAGGGTCACCGCATCTCAGTCGAGAAGGCAGGACCCTCATGGTGACCTTAGCTGGTACCGGAATTGAACCTACACTGTCGGTGTCACACTGCATTTCAAACCAGCTGTCCAGCCAAGTGAACTAACCAACACCCAATTAATACAGGAAATAAGAACATAAGAATTAAGATCAGGAGTTGGCAATTTAGCACCTTGAGCCTGCCATGCCATTCAATACAATCATGGCTGATCTCAACTTGGTCTCAATTCCACCTTCCTGCCCGCTCTCCATAACCCTTCAATCCATTACTACTCTATAAATCTGTAAACATTAAATAAGGTGGGTGTACACACACCACAACTGGGTAAAGGCAGCAGTCATCACCACTTTCTGAAGGAAACTTGGGATGGGCAATAAATGCTGGCCTAGCTATCAATGCCTACGTACCATGGATGAAAAAAATCCAACTGGATGAAAAAAAAATCTAGCTGCATTAGTTATTTTGCAGTCAAAAACAGATGAATAAACTTACATCAAACTGATTAAGTATAGCTCCACTTTCAAGTCCTTTTCGAAGCTGAATCATGGATTCTTCTAACGAATCACCATATTCAGGATATGAGGAATGAATAGAATTATTTGGAAAACACCGAAAGTCTATTTCCTCTTCCACTTTGTCCTCTTTATGACTGCTTGTAACTTGAAAATTAGAAATTATACAAAGGTTTATCATTAATAATTTTGCATCAAGTTGGCTATTTAACTTACAATTCACAATATGATAATTTTATTAGTTAAGCAAGGCAGAGATGCTATGGGCATTCGAGTAGGGCAAAGTGAATGCGTGCTAAGACAGTGAGTGAGCAGCCTGGAGATACTTCCTGGTCCAGTTTGTCACAAAGTGTCCTTACAACCGCATTACAATGAAAAGTGCTGATGCATTCCACAGTGCAGCATTAAAGTGCAGAAGCGTACGCTGAGAGGATCAGAGGTTGCCATAATGACACTGAGGCTGGTACTTGGCAGATGCCAATGTCTGAAGATAAGAAGGGAGTGTAGCGGTTGCCTGTAAAGCGTACATTGAGATATTGTTGCCGGTGTCCATGATGGAAGTCCGGAAGAGCAAGTGGCCAGCTGCAATTATCAGGCAACCATTTAAACTTTCACGTTAGGGAATTCTCAGTATGTACTTTCTGTTCGTTGGGTGCAAGAATGGGAACCTGGGTACTAATGGGGCGAGGATAGGTAGGAATCAGGGTGGTAATGAGCGATAATTCCAGTTAATAAGGCTCTTGCTGCTCACTAGCAAGATTCTCATCTCAACGTCCAGGATTTAGTTGCAGATGTGTCCTTTCAGTCTTGATGTCGACATAGGGCTTCCCTGGACATTTCACCCATTTTCCTACATTCCTGACAATAGCCCATGTCGTTCAAGTGCTGGGGAGATTCTGCCCCAAGTGGTTTAGCAAAAGAAACAATAGCGAGCTGAGGAAAAACATCATAATGCAAGTACTTAGCATCTGGAATGCACTGAGTTTGTTGGGGGCAGAATCAATCATATCTTTCAAACCAGAACTGGATAACTATCTGACGAGATAATATTTGCAAGAGTTGTGGGAAATTCTATGGTCTGCAAGTTACTTCATTGCATTATTATTTTTTAAACCCTTTCAGCAGGCTTGGAGAGAAAAGGCGGTGCAATTAGAGGTGGTCTTACGATCAGGTGACTTAGACTGAATCAGCAACTTCTGTGCTGTAAGCATCCTTTGGTATTCTGATTCCAAGTACTGTGGGTCACTGTCAGTCACAGCCGAATACCCTCTGGGATCAGCCCTTCTCTCCCAGTCCTAACTTGTTGATCAGCTCAATGTGGAAGTCAATCAATTTCTCATCCTCTCTACTGGGAGCTACGTTAGCAGCAGTCAAACAAGTCACAAACTTGAAAATGGCTCAGGATTGACGATTATGTTGTAGTCCTCATGCTGGCTTGGGGCACATTTCAATTGAGGGGTGGTGAATAAGGAATGAGAAGTGTCTAAATTCACTCCAAGAAGTCAGAAAGAAACCATTTCTCTATTGAGGGCTTATTGCAGATGATTAGGGTGCAATCTTAACATATTCTTACAATAATCCCATACAGCTTTCTTAGAACATAGAACGTCTTATCAGAAACAATAGTGGACGTAGAACACAACAGCTTTTGCAAAGGGGCTAGTCATTTGGAACAAAAACAGCAAATGCAAGGGTAAGGGAAAGAGCAGGAAGCTAGGCAAGTAAAATAGGAAAGGCAAAAGTAAAATAGCAACTTGTCAAATGGGGACTGAGAAGAGTGTGCAGCAAGTCAGCATTGCTGTGAAGCTGACTGCAAGGACTGTGCAGTGATTCAGTGTCTCCGTGAAGCTTTGAGGAGAGTGGTGAATTTGGTGAGATGGTTCTGGTAGGGTGCATCTTTAAATAGCCCTAAATTAGAAAGCATGTGGAATGGGGTCAGGTGAGTACTTCTGCTTCTTCTACTAGTTAAACTATGGCAGTCCATTAGGTTAAAAAAAAAATTAGGGACTTTGGACAGTAGTGAGTATGTTTGGATTGGAGAAGATTCCTTAGCATAATTAGTATTTTTAAAAGGGAGTAACTAATGGGCTTATCTAAAGGAAAATCATGACAGCCGTGATATGCTTCTCCTGCAGTATGTGCGAGGTCATGGACACTTGGTGAGCATTAATGCAGAAAGTGCGTCCAGCTGCAGCTCTGGCTAACTGCACTTTGCAGGCAGAGCTGCGGGTGGACTCTCAGTGGCATAACCATGAAGCTGAGATTAATGTGGGCAGCATATTCCATGGGGTGGCACCCTGCAGGTCAAGACTGAAAAGACAGAAAGGAGAAGAAGAACTACCCGACAGAGTAGGGGAAGGCAGATAGTGCAGGAGACATCTGTGGCCTCCCTCACTTTAACAGATATACTGTTTTGGATACTGTTGGGGGAAATGACTTCTGAGGGGATAGCAGCAAGAGGGGGGTCCATGGCTCTGCTGCACACGATGGGAATATGAAGAGTGACAGGGCCACACCGATGGGGAATTCGTTAGTAGGGGAACAGTGTTTGTGCAACTGCAGGAGTCTCCAGGATTATATCTCTACCCCCTACCCTCCGCCCTGGTGGCAGGGTCCAGGATGTCACAGAAAGGCTGCAGAGCATCCTGAAGGGGGAAGACAAACAGCCAGTGGTTGTGGTACATATCATACCAATGACATAAGTTAAAGAGATGACATAATACAAGCTGAATAAAGAAAGTTAGTATGTAAATTACATGCAAGACTTCGAAGGCAATAATTATTACCAGTGCTACGTGTTAGCAAGCGTAGAAATATAGAATATATAGCTGAAGAAATGTGTGTATTTGGGCAGGGGGGGGGGGGGGGGGTGGTTTGGCATATAGTTTCCTAGGACATGGGGACAAGTCCTGGAGAAGATGGGACCAGTACACACAAGGCCATAAAACCATAAGATGTCAGAGAAGTAGGCCATTCAGCCCACTGAGTTTACTTTGGCAGTCAATGAGATCATGTGGTTGAAGGAGGGTGGTAGGCGGTAAATCAGTAGGAAGTTTCCATGCCCATGACTGAGCTGATGACAGAGACTTCATGGCATTTGGAGTCAATGTTAAGCACTCCCAAGGCAACTGTGCTGCTGGTGGGACACAGCATAGACAAGATTTGAGAAGGAGGTGTTTGTGCCAAGCTGTAAGGAATTATGCTGAGGGAATCGTGTCAGACTGTTGCTTGACTGATCTGTAGGACAGATCTCCTGATAGACAGGGTAATGATGATGATGTTTGGTACACTTGTCTTTATTGGTCAGTGCACTGAGTATAGGAGTTGGGAGGTCATGTTGCAGCTGTACAGAACATTGGTTAGGCCTTTTTGGAAAACTGTTCAATTCTGGTCTCCCTGCCATAGGAATGATGTTGTTAAACTTGAAACATTGCAGACAGATTTAAAAGGATGTTGGCAAGGTTGGAGGGTTTCAACTATAGGAAGATGCTGAATAGGCTCTGGTCTACAGCTGGGGCATTGGAGGCTGACGGGTGACTTTATAGAGGTTTATAAAATCATGAGGGGCATGGATAGTTGAATAGCCAAGGTCTTTTTCCCAGGGTAGGATAGTCCAAAACTAGACAGCATAGGTTTAAGGTGAGAGGGGAAAGATATGAAAGGGACCCAAGGGGCAACAGTTTCACACAGTGACTGGTGCTTCTATGGAATGAGCTGCCAGCGGAAGTGGTGGACACTGGTACAATGCAACATTTAAAATGCATGTGAATGGGTACATAAACAGGAAGAACTTAAAGGGATATGGGCCAAATGCTGGCAAATGGGACCAGATTAATTTAGGCTATCTGGTCAGCATGGACCAATTGGACTGAAGGGTCTGTTTCCATGCTGTACAACTCTATGACTCTACGATAATCCTTAACTTCACTTTCCTGCCTTTTCCCTGTAACACTTGTTTCCCTTATGATTAAAGATCTATCCATCTTGAATATAATGACATGGTCTTGACAGCACTCTAAAGTATTCCACAGATTCACTAACCTCAGAATAAATTCCTTCCCATCTCAGTCTTAAATGTGCAATCCCTTATTCTGAGATTATGCCCTCTGGTCCTGGACTTTCCCACAAGAAGAAACAACCTTTATGCATCTATGTTGTCAAGTCAACTAAGAATGTTATATGTTTCAATAAGGTTGCTTCCCATTCTTCCGTATTCCACTGAGTACAGGCCCAACGTTAGAGGAGCAGGAAAGTTGATATGTCGGGTCGGGACCCTTCCTCCAACTCCAGACTATGTTATTTTTGACTCCAGCATCTTGCTATCTCACAGTATGTCCCAGCAGTGGTCTAACTATTGCCTTGTATAGTTTTAGCAAAGCTTCCCTATGTTTATATTCTAATCTCACCTGACAAGGGAGCAGTGCTCCAACAGCTTGTGATTTCACATAAAACCTATTGGACTGTAACCTGGTGTCATGTGACTTCTGACTTTGAAATAAAGACCACTGAATTTGCCTTCTCTATTACCTACTGATCTTGTATGCTAGTTTTTTTGTGATTCATAGACAAGGACTCCCAATTCTTTCTGTACTGTAGCTTTCTTTATTTCATCTGGACAGGGCTGGGACCAATGTCCTCATTGGTGGAGAGTGTTAAGCTGTTTTGTAGTGCTGTTGGGGAAGAGTTTAAACTATAATAGTAGAGGAAGGGAGCCTGATCAGGGAGACTGAGAAGGGGAAACAGAGATAGAAACAAAAGACAGAAAATTAAACAAAATTTGAGGGCAAAAACAAATGGGACCCTAGTGCAGAAAAAAAAAAGAGAATGACTAACAAGTCTAAAGCACTGTGTCATAACGAGCTAAGCATTTGCAATAAAGTAAATGAATTAATAGTGCAAATAGAGATACACGATTGCAATTGATATAATTGATGTATATCTCAGAATGATAACAGTTACAATTACAATTTCCTGCTCCTCTAACATCGAGGGCTGAAGGGCCTGTACTGCGCTGTAATGTTCTATGTACAGAGACATGGCTGCAAGGTGACCAAGGATGGGTACTGAACATCCAAGGATATTTCAATATTTAGTAACAAAAAACAAATAGGATGTGAGATAGCACTGATAGCAAAGGTTTAAATCAACGCAATAGTGAGAAAAGATATTGGCTTGGAAAATCATGTTGATGAACGGGAACAGATGAGAAACACCCAGATGATGATGTTGGTGGGGTTGCCTATAGACCCCCAAACAGCAGTAGAGATGTAGAGAAAGGAATTAAACAGGAGACTAGAGATGTATGTAATAACTATTGACTACAAGAGTAATCATGGGTGACTTTAATCTTCATATGGATTAGACAAACCAAACAGCAGTATTACTGTGGAATAGGATTTAAGACCTTTTTTTAAAGAGCAATACAATATGGAAATAGCAAGGAGGGCAGGCTATCCTGGACTAGGTACTGTAAACGAGAAATGATTAATTAATTATTATGTGGGGGCCATTGGGAAACAGCAATGATAAAATGATAGAATTGCTCATTAAGACAGAGACTGAAGCAACTGAATCTAAAACTAGGATTCTGAATCTACATCAAAGGAACTACGAGGGTACGAGGTGCTAATTGGCAATGATGGATTGGAGAACCATACTATAAAGGTTGATATTTAAGTAGCAAGAGTCGCAACAATTATTCGAGCCTATTTGCTGCAAGAATAAAAAAGGAGCAATAGTTCAACCATAGCTAGAAAAGAAATGAAGTGCAGCATCAGATCTAAGGCAGAGACGTACAAAATGGTCAGAAAAAGCAGCAAGCCTGACGACTGGGGGCAATTTAGAATTCAGTAAAAGAGGACAAAAGGATTGATTATGATGGGGAGGATAACATATGAGAGCAAAAATAGCGAGGAACATAAAAAAAAATTATAAAAAGCTTCAATAAATATGTAAAGATAAAATATTTAAGAAAAAAATATAGGTCCTTTACAGTCTTAAGCCGGATAAATTATAATGGGGAACAAAAAATGGCAGAAGAATTGAACACGTATTTTGGTTCTGATTTCATAAAAGAGGACACAAATAACTTCCCAGAAATGCTAGGGAACCACTGGGTTAGTGAGGGGAAGGAACTGAAGAAAATCAGTATTAGGAAAAATAAAGTACTAGAAAAATTAATGAGGTTAAAGGCAGACAAATCCCCAGGACTTGATAACTTGCATTTCAGTTTACTAAAGGAAGCGTGCTTAGAAATATTGGATCATTGGTCATCTTCTAAAGTTCTGCAGACTCTGGAGCAGTTGGTACAGATTGGACGGTAGCAAATGTAACTCCACCATTTGAAAAGGGAGAGAGGGGAAAAACTGGAAATTATAGGCCAGTTAGCTTAACATCAGCTGTGGGGAAAAATGGTAAAGTTTATTATAAACAAGTGATAACAGAACACCTGGAAAACATTAACAGTGTTAGCTAAAGTCAGCATGAGTTTAAGAAAGAGAAATTATGCTCAACTAATTTTCTGGAGTGTTCTGAGGATGTAGTTAATAGAATAGATAAGGGAGAACCAGTGGATATGGTGCATTTAGATTTCAAGACGAATCCTGATAAGAGGTTAGTGCGCAAAATTAAAACACATTTGACTGGGAGAAATATATTGGCATGGATTTAAAATTAGATAACAGCCAGTGGGAAATAGAAAGTGGGAATAAATAGGTCTTTTCCAGACAGCAGGCCATGTCTAGTGGCGTACCACAAGGATCAGTGCTTGGGCCCCAGTTGTCTACCGATACGTAAAATGACTTGGATAGGAAGGAACCAAATGCTATATTTCAAGTTTTTTATTGACACAAAACTAATGGGGTTGCAAAAAGAATGCAAGGAGGCTTCAAGACAATCTAGGCAATTTGAGTGAACACAGAACATACAGCACAGGAACAGGCCCTTTGGTTCACCATATCTGTGCTGACCATGATGCCATTCTAAACTAATCCTATCTGCACGTACATGGTCCGCATCCCTCTATTCCCTGCCTGTTCATGTGTCTAAATGCCTCTTAGACATTGCTATCGTACCTTCTTCTATCACTTCCCCTAGCAGTGTGTTCCAGGCACCTACTACCCTCTGTACAAGAAAAACTTGCCTCACAAATCTCCTTTAAAATTCCCTCTCACTTTAAACCTATGCCACCTAGTATTTGACATTTTCACCGTGGGGAAAAAAGCCTCCAACTGTCCAACCTATCCATGCCTCTCAATTTTATATACTTCTATCAGATTGTCCTGGGAGTTTGCCTACCCAGTGAATGACTATTTTGAAATGTTGAAGGCTTCCCTGTATGCGCTGGTCACACATCTAACAATGATAAGGTGCTGGGCTATTAACACTGACTTTGACAGGGTTGTAAGATGGCATGCAGCTAAGAACAAGCAACTTGTTTGGCTTAGTACCAAGTAGTGATAGATGATGGTATATGCATTTGCATGTGCAATGAAGTGGCAAGCTTACCACCCATGTGCCCCGAGAAGCATTGCTTTGCGTTTACTTTCTCACTACATGCATGGTGAAGGGCAATTCCAGAATGTCAACTGGATGTATAGCATGGATTCAAAAATAACACTAGTGCCAGGGATCCCAGGATATCCTGGCAGTGGACAGAATTTCTGGCTCCAGGTGAGCAGAGCACCATAAGGCCATGGTGCATGGGAGTTAAAGAATGGGATGATATTGTGAAAAACCCATTAGGCCTTGCAGAGAGAAACTCACCATGAAACTCTCCAAAATGGCAGTTTTTGGTAAGATTCAGTTTACTCTGCCTCTCTTCAATCGCTGACACAGGAACTGAAGATTGAAGTCTTTACTCAGCAGTATTTACACACAATCTTAAGTCCCATATAAAAAGTTATATTTACACTTTCTACCCAGGTAAATATTTATGATACCACGTCTAATGGTCAAATATTCAATTATCGTTTTACTGAATTTCTAACCCAAACATATTTATTACAATGGATCAAGGAAAAACCAGACAGACAATTCTATATAAACAGACAGCATAAAACAATAAACAGAGTGATCTCATGACACACCACCTGATGAGTGGCTCACGTGGTCTCTGGTAGAAGTTAACACATCATATCCTAATGACACAAAGCTGCAGCAGGATGAGGTAAAGAGAAATTAGAAAAAAAATCCTGAAAAATAGATTGGCATACACATTCATTTTTTTAAAAATGAGACACTGTTCTGCATTATAAACTAAACATTATTACTGTAAGAAACGTAAAACAATGGTTTGTCAGTTTCATATTGTCAACAATAGAGTGAAGTATTGCAGATGTTAACCGAGTTTAACAATTATTAGTTACCTTTTCTTTTGACCAACAGCACAAGTTCTCTGGAGTGTGATTCTCTGCTTGCTTTTATGAACATGACAACTTGGTCATGAGTATGTTCAGAGATGTCTCTGCCATTAATCAACAAAATCTGATCCCCTTCATTCAGTTTTGGCACACACACGTCAGCCTACACAACAAATGTTAAAACATTTACATAAAAATATAAGATTTTGGAACGAGAAATGTAGTAGTATTAAGTATGTGAAATGTTAACTACATTTATTATTTGATGTGTTGGCATTCTGGTTCTATTTTGGATTATAGACTATGCCTTTTACTATAAATGTTTACATGTTGTTCAAAAAAAAATCTGCTCTCAACGTTCAAGTCCTATAAAGCCCATCTCAGGGTTCAGACAGATTTTTGTTCTAAACTTTCTCTATTCAGCTAGGAATTTAAATTTCTTATTTGTTTTGAGTGAAAAATGGAATATTCTGTATTAATTTAGGAAAGAGGAATTACTGGTATTTCCACACATCTCAACTCTTAGCAAATTAATTGCATTCCCATGTCCTGAATGATTGTTAGACCTTTCGTTTAGGTCATTTATTCTGCTTGTTCCCAAAAAAACGAATGCAAAACCATAAAAATCACTGTCTTTATCTTCTCATTTCCTTGTCAATATGTTTAAATGCTCCCATTTGTATAATGTTCTTGCTTCCATTTCTGTTTCTTCTACACCATCACTGATGAGTTGAGTCATCACAAGATCTGCTTTTACTGGAAATATGTACAATTAACTAATGTACCATTTGTGGATTCACCTGATCGGGATGGGCTGAACCAGCTTGTAGTGTTTTGGGACGATTGGCCTTAATATAACATACTGAAGGAAACATGCATGAAGACAATGAGCTCTGCAGGCCTTTGCGTGTCACAATGGTAACAGGCTCTTATTCTGTCCGATCATTGGTATCAAATAGTATCCAATATTATTTGTGTTTGTAAGGTTCACAAAATAGTAGGCACTCAAATCGTACCTATGCATGACCACTGCTTTCTTTTCTAAAGGACACTTACACTTGACATTCCTGGACCCTCTATCTGGAAGTAGACCATACTATCATCCCGTCCATGCCTACAGTCTCTTACTGAAACCATTCTGATTCACTCCCATTAACTGTACTTGGATGTTGTGCTTTTGTCCTTTTCTAAAGGAGGTGGAAGTGCTTGTTATTCATTTCAACTCCATTGGATAACTTGACTTTGATCTCCTATGCCTAAGATTATTTATATCTTACTCAATGGTGACGTTACTGCTCCCTTAATCCCAAGAAATATTCTAAAAATGCATGTCTTTATGTCTAGGAAAATCAGACCGATGATTTCTAACTTCCATTTTTCAACTTGAAATTTTATTATCAGCAATAATTTCACTTCTCTAATTCTATCAAGTTGGCACTAAATGTCGAAGAGCTATATGTTTTCACATTACTTCTATTTCTAACAAGAACAGAGCAGTCATCAGTTTTTGAGAATCCAGCAATGCTCACTTTGGAAAAGGTTGAGTTCTAGGACTGGTCTTTCTACTGCAAAGATAGGTACATGCAGATTACTAAGTAATGTAGGGAGAATAATATTGATCTTCAAGAGTTCGAATTGAAACAAAAACACAGGCTTTTCATCACACAGGGATAATGTGAGAGATGATGTCAACTGCAACATAAAAGCCAATAATTGCTAGGATCTACTTCAACAGATTTCATATAACAAAGGTATGGCTCAGGAAAAGTAATAATGAACAGTAATTGTGTAGTACAAATATGCATGATGTCTCTCATTTGTTTGCCAATCTACTTGAACAACTGGGTAATCATAAAACAGCACATAAGTGTTGCACCCACTGGGAAACTGACAGCAAAGACAATTAGATTTGAACTGAGTGTTTTTACTTAGTTCAAGACCCAGTGGCACAAGCAGTTATGGAAAAGTACTTTTCATAGTTACTAATTAAACCTTATATATATGAGTGTTAAACATAAAGCTGATGTGTGCGTCTTTGTATAGTTATTTAAAATTAATGCTTTGCCCATAATATACGGAGTGAACTACTAGACACATTACGGTTTCTAGATTTTTAAACTACTTAAAAGGATAACAAAGGAACTATTTGATGTTTTGGTGAATTGTGGCAAGAGTCAAGAACAGTAGTTGTTTGAATACACTTGGATTTAATAAGGTTCTTATGGAAGTAGAAGCAATAAAGCTGTTCACCCAATATCTAACAGATAAATACATTGAGCAGTTCGTATCTTGCTCAAAATGGTACTGGATACTGTAAAATTTTCAATCTTGTGTTAAAAATTCTCTTAAGCAACTTATTGTAGATGGATTTTTTTTAAGTCAAAGCAATGACTACAAACAGAAACTGCTGAAAATACTCTACATCAGTTAACATCTGTGAAAAAAAAGAAAATTGAGTTTAATGGCAGAATTCAATCCCACCCCCCGAAACCAGGGGAGGGCCAAGAAGGCTTGTGATGAAGAGTGTTTCTAACTCTCTCCTGTTAATTATGAGGCAGGGAGGATTTAAAATGGCCTCTAGCCTGGAGGCCAACACAGAGTCAGATTCATTTTTGGCTCAGGAGTTAGCCATTCAGCCCTTTTCGTCCATACTGGTACCCTAGAGAGCAATCTAGTCAGCCCATTCTCCCTTCTAGATCCTAGTAATCCTGCAAGATTTTTTTACTTCCAGAAGTGTCCTCACCAATCTCCTGTACAGCAAAAACATGATGTTTCAATCCCCATGCTCAATGCACTGACCAACGAAGGCAAGCATACCAAATGCCTTCTTCACTACCCTGTCTGTCTACCTGCAATTTCACTTTCAAGGAACTATGTAGCTGCACCCCTAGGTTTCTTTGTTCAGCAACACTCTCCAGGGCTCTACCATTCCTTATGTTCTGATGCCATTCATGTCCAAATGCAGTAAGACATGGATAATATCCAGGCTTGAGCTGAAAAGTGGCACGAAGGTAATGATCATCTTCTATGAGACAAATCATCCATTATCTTTTGATATTCAATGGCACTACCACAGCTGAAACCCCACTATCAACTGAGGTTTACCATTGACCAGAAACTGAAATGGACTAGCCTAGTAAATGTTGCTGCAAGGGCAGTTCAGAGGCTAGGAATACTTCAGGGGTAACTCACCTCCTGACACCCCAAAGACCGTACTCCATCTATAAGGAACAGGTCAGGAGTGTCATGGAATACTCCGCAATTGCCTGCATGGGTGCAACGCCAACATCACTTGAGAAGCTTGACACCAACCAGGACAAAAGCAGCCCAATTGCCTGGCACCGCACTCTCAAACATTCATGCTCCGTACCTTCATTGCTCAGTGTGATGATAGTATGGCTTTAAGAGGTGTATTTGGTCCTGCCAATTAGCGTACCTGCCCATCATCCTTACACTGCCACTCAGCCAATTTCTGAACCAGTTCAATAATTTGCCTTCAATCCAATGAAATTCAACTTTAGATGAACAGTTGCCTGGATCCGGAGACCTTGTCTAATGCCTTCCAGAAGTCCAAAATGAATAATATTCATAGTCAATCCCCTGTCCATTGCTTTAAAGACTCCTTCAAAAACTTCAATCAGGTTAATCAACCATCAGTTACCATTTATAAATCCATACCGTCTGTCACTGATCAGCAGAAAAATGTAAAGGTGTTCGGTCACTTTATCCTTATATGTAGACTCTGAATTTTCTAAGTGCTCCCTAGTTACCCTCCCTCTCCTTCCTTAAGTAGCAGTGACATATTAAATATTAAAGTTCATGATTCAGGAAAACTTTGGAAGATTATAGTTAGCACATCCCCAATACCCCTGCATTTCACCTAATTCCTTTAAAACCCTGGAATGGAAACCATGTAGCTCTAGAATGTCACTCTCTGGCATTGTTCTTCTTTCACTGCTCTCATCATGGCTACATTAATTTTGATCTTTTATTCAACATTGGCTTCCTCGGTTATCTGGCGCTGGTCTCTTTCTCCATAAATAGCAGTGCAAAGTTATTAATCAGAATGTCTGCTATTCCATTATTTTCATTGACAATATCAGTTATCTATTTTCACAAGGCCAACACAGTTCCAAATCAAACTTACACAATTGTATTCCCCCCCCATCCCTGTTGAGCTTCATATTCCTTGCCAGTAGTTCTTATTACTTGTTTTGTTATCCTTGGCTTGTTCCTGCTCACCAGAATCTTGTGCTTTATTCTGCAGTTTCATTTTTGTTTAAAATTTTGTATTGTCTTGTGTGTGTGGTTTCTTAACTCTTCATTTTCCCATGACTATCTTTTCAGAATGTAGGATTTTTGCTCCTTAGGAGAGTGGTGGCCTCGTGGTATTATCACCAACTGTTAATCCAGGTTCGAATCCCACCATGGCAGATGGTGGAATTTGAATTCAAATTCAATAAAAATCTGGAATTAAGAGTCTGATGACTGTGAAACCATTGACAATTGCCTGAAATCTGCAATCCTAACCTGGGCTGACCTACATGTGCCTCCAGACCCACAGCAATGTGGTTGACTCTTGACTGTCCCCTGGACAATTAGGGATGGGCACTAAATGCTGCCTAGCCAGTGACACCCTCATCCTGTGGATGAATAAAAGACTCTTGTTATATGAATTTTTGTTCTGAATATGCCACACTGTTCTATCATTTTACCCATAAATTTTCTCAGTTTACTCTGAAATGTCTGTTTCATTTCATTGAAATCCGGCCCATCTATATCTAGAATCTGAATAGCTTTTTCATGTTTCCTCATTTCAAACACTGCATTAAACGCAATCGTGTTATGATTGCTATTAGGTAAATGATCATGCACCACTAGCTGTCCTAAATATGGTTCATGAATCATTACTAAATCTAATAATAGCATATGCTCATTCGCTTCATACTGCTGCAGAAAAGTATCCCATACTAATTCAAAAAAATTACCACCTTTCTAAGAGGTGCTAGCACACCTAATTTCAATCAATTTTAAACTTAAAATCACACTTTTGCCAAATGCTGGTCTAATCTTTGCCTTTATGTCACCTAGCATGTCAGAATACCTCCAGGAAGGTGGCACACAACTCCCACTAGTCTAAAATCCTTTCTTACTCTTTCATTTCACCCATAAAGTCTCCACTATCTACTTTCCTTTCACTATATGCAGATGCTTTGAATGTTTTCCTTGGATCTTTATGATTTTTCTCTCCTGGTTTAATTAATTACTTTACAACTTTTCATTTTCCCTTTATCTATATTGGCTAAAGCACGACTTTTGACTGTTATTTTACTCTCTTCCTTTTCATTTGTTTGCCAACTGTGATCTGTGCTCCCTTTATTATCTGACCACCACTTCCCTACAAACCATCCCACTTTCAAACTTAAACGACAGAAGTACCTTTGTGTACCTCGCTCTACACCAAAGTCCTGTATACCCACACAAGAACTGCAGGAATTCAAGAAGGCAGGTCACCACCATCTCTCAAGGGCAATTAGGGATGGACATTAAATACTAGCCAGTGATGCTCACATCCCATGAACAAGTACATTTTTAAAAATGTCTTACCAATTAAGTGATTTCTACTGATCCCCATCTATCATTTTCCCATTGTTCCTGCATAACCTAACACTTTGTTCCCAGTCCTGATCACCTTACAATCATATCATACCTTGCAAGTTGAATTTGTGCCTGCAATTTATTCAATCTGTTTCTTACACTCTCTTCATTTGTGCAAACAACACTTGAGCTACACACCATAGCCTTTCCTCCTCCAAGGTTTTAATCTCTGATTTCTTATTGTGTTGGTTCAATTACTTTACATCTTTTAGCTTTCCTTTTAGCTACGATGCCAAAACACTGTCTTGATGGTTACTTTACTCTCTTTCCTTTCATCTTTTTTTAACTATGATATAAGCTACCTTTTCTATCTGATGTCTGCCCCCACACTGATTTGGTGTTAGTACATGTGCTGGAGTATGATTTTGATCTTGGATACTGTGAAGCAACAAAAGCAAAGGTTTGAGGAAGGCTAAACATCATGCAGTTATCTGTAAACTCGGCTGTATCTAAAACATGAATAATTTTGGTTAGAATTCAAAGGCAACTGGTAAGGAGTGAAATATAGCTAGGAAAGCGAGTTCTAGTACATGATCAAATTTAATAAATGAAACAGAAAGAATTGTAAATGAAGAAACAGACCAGTAGAAATCCTTTTGGAGAGGAGAACAGAAATTAAGGTGGATCAAGCTAGACAAACCATAATACAAGGATCATTTACTAGATTGAGAGATGACTTCAACACAAATAAAGGCTTAAGGAGTATAAGGGACTGAAAGACATTTTACAGGGGACAGAGTTCGGAGACCACTATAATAGTGTTCGCTGTGGTCAAAGCCCTGCTCCATAGAATTAAATTTTTCTTGAGTGAGTTAAAGAAAATAGAAAGTAAGTAGACACAGTTAGAGGGACAAATACAGCAGAAGGAAATCCAGCAATTTCAAGATTATATTGCTCACCAATGAACAGCAGCAGATTGTTAAGCACCATTTAAAGCCTCCGTGACAAGGATCCTCTCAAAACAATGTGAAAAAAGGTGTAAAGCTGGTCAGGAAGTTACAGGAGTAAAACTGGGAGACATAATGATTCAACAAGTGAGACATCTACTGTGAATTTCCATTAATTCCCTAGTGGACCTTTCCGCATGCACTGTGTGCTACTGTTCAAGTGAGAAAAGCCAAGAAATTGTGCAAGATATCAAGAATTTTACACTATCCCTCTCATAGAGGATGGAGACTGTGAAGCAGATAAGTATTACAAAAATCCTTTTTTAGAGGCAGAAAATAACAAGAGATTTAGCGCAATTAATGAGGAAGCTTTACTCACTGGTGATCCTGGGCTTACTCTTGAAACAATGAGGGGCATTTTCTGATCAACTCCACCCTGAAAGTAGACAGTGGAGGGGGAAGAAGAAAGACGCTTTAGGATTATATACATAAAGTAAAATTTTAGAATTTACAAAATTTGTGTTCATAGATCTTTTATACTTAGATTTGTTACCCACTACATTTACATAATTTTTCTCTTACTCTTTAAAATATTTTTATTTAAACAAATCCTGGCGGCTTCAATGTAAAAGTGATTGGATAAGGTAGCTTAGTTCAGTCTAAGTTTAGTTGAATTAACCATACAACAAATGAGATTGAAAACTGATGACTGTATCTACTGAAATTTATTCAGCTTCTTTACAGTTGACAGGCTCTGCAATAACAAATCTCTCAGGGCTTAGTGAATTATGAAAAATATTCAAATAGATTCGAGAAACAGATTAACATTAAAGTGGTTTGGTATTTGTCGTTCAATTTAAAAACAAATAATTCCAATGGTACAAACACAATGCTGTGTTAAATGTATAGGCACAGTAAATTTTCCAGTGAACTGCGCTGAACAAATGAAACAATTTGGACAAGGTGGGAAGAATAAGACAATTAAACAGTGCACCATTTTAGTTCACTCCCCAGTCGCCAGTCACAGAACACAGCAAGAATTCATGGCCACATTGTAACTGTCCTCTTAGTAACACAGAAATATAGAAAATTGGATCGCAATGCTCTTTGGCCCATCAAGCTCACTTTGCTATTCAATGTGATTATGGCTGATCCTCTATTTCAATGCCAAGTTCCTGCTCTCTCCTTATACATTTTTAGCATTTAGAAAATGTCATAGGTTCATCATCCTTTGCCTGAAGAAATTTCACTTTATCTCATCTTCATCCGAAATGGCCTGTCATGTATCCTGGGACTGTAGTCACTTGTTCTGTGCCCTCCCTCAGCCAAGGGAAGCATCATCCTGGCTTCCAGTACAGAAACATAAAACTTAGAAAAGAACCAAAGCAGGAAAAAACATCCAATTTGTTCATACGGAAACCCCAAAAATGAGAATGATTGGTTGGAGAACGATAGTACAAGCTTGTTTCTCATATTTGGAAAGTGAAATGTAATACACCCCAGAGTTCTAAAGGAGATAGTAGAAGCGTTAGTGGTGATCTTTCAGGAATCACTAGGGTCAGGGAGGGTCCCAGAGGACTGGAAAATGGCTAACGTGACACCCCTGTTTAAAAAAAGGGAGTAAGGCAAAAGACGGAAAATTACAGGCTGATTAGATCTAACCTCAGTCGTGGGTAAGATTTTGGAGTCTATTGTAAAGGATGAGATTGTTGAACATTTGGAATTGTATACTAAAATAGGGCAAAGTCAGCACGGTTTCATCAAGGGGAGGTCATGCCTGACAAATCTGTTAGAATTCTTTGAGGAAGTAATGAGCAGGGTAGACCAAGGAGAGCCAATGGATGTTACCCACCTGGATTTCAAAAAGACCTTTGATAAGGTGCCACACAGGAGGCTGCTGAGTAAGATAAGGGCCCATGGTGTTAGAGGCAAGATGCTAGCATGGATAGTAGATTGGCTGTCTGGCAGAAAGCAGAGAGTGGGGATAAAGGGGGCTTTCTCAGGATGAAAGCCGGTGACAAGTGGTGTTCTGCAAGGGTCAGTGATGGGACCACAACTTTTCACTTTGTACATTATACAAGATGAAGGAATTGTGGGCATTTTGGCTAAGTTTGCAGATGATACAAAGATAGGTGGAGGGATAGGTAGTATTGAGGAGGTGGCGAGGCTGCAGAAGGACTTGAACAGGTTAGGAGATTGGGCAAAGAAGTGGCAGATGGAGTACAACGTGGGAAAGTGTGAGGTCATGAACTTTGGTAAGAAGAATAAAAGCATGGGCTATTTTCTAAATGGGGAGAAAATTCAGAAGTCTGAAGTGCAAAGAGACTTGGGAGTTCTAGTCCAGGATTCTCTCAAGGTAAACTTGCACGGTGAGTCTGTGGTCAGGAAGGCAAATGCAATGTTGGCATTTATTTTGAGGGGACTTGAATATAAAAGCAGGGATGTACTACTGAGGCTTTATAAGGCTCTGGTCAGGCCACACTTGGAGTATTGCGCGCAGTTTTTGGCCCTATATCTCAGGATGGATGTAGTGGCCCTGGAGCGGGTTCAGAGGAGGTTCACGAGAATGTCCCAGGAATGGAAAGCTTAACATACGAGAAACGTTTGAGGACTCCAGGACTATACTCATTGGAGTTTAGATGGATGAGGGGGGATCTAATTGAAACTTTCAGAATACTGAATGGCCTGGACAAAATGGATGTTGGGGAGATGCTTCCATTGGTAGGAGAGTCTAGGATCCGAGTGCACAGCCTTAGAGTAAAGGGAAGACCTTTTAGAACGGAGATAAGGAGAAACTACTTCAGCCAGAGAGTGGTGAATCTATGGAATTCACTGCCACAGAAGACTGTGGAGGTCAGGTCATTGAGTACATTTAAGACTGAGATAGATAGGTTCTTGATTATCAAGGGGATCAAAGGATATGGGGAGAAAGCAGGAGAATGGGCTTAAGGAACTGATCAGCCATAATTGAATGGCGGAGCAGGCTCCATGAGCCAAATGGCCTAATTTCTGCTCCTATGTCTTATGGTCTAAATCTTCAATTTCAAACCTGACTTGTCACTGTCATTTCATTCTAAGAGCTGGACTGTTGTTTTTGCATTAAACACTTTGTTACTACATGTTGTTGTTTGTAGTACAGGAAAGTGTGGCAAGGAAGATTAAATTTATGTCATTTACCTTTAAATTGAAACCAAACTTTCCTTCTTCATCGGGTATCATGCGAACGCAAAGAAAGCCATTATCAGTGTTTACCAGATCAGTCTGAAGATAAGAACAAGTGAACTTTACTATGCAGGACTGAATTAAAGATACTATTAGACAGAGCTCTCCAAACCAGGGACCTAGGATACTAAATGGCATCATGAGCTGAATTTTTTGAGAGTCAGCAACGACTGCCAAGGAGCTTTGTCTCCCCCCCACCACCAATCCCCCTATCCTCACAGGTTTCTCTACACCATCACCTGCTCTCAGTTTTCACAAACGGGTCACAATAATTATTCAACTTCGAAACTGGTCACAGCCAGAACAAGTTTGGGAAATACTGTAACAGAGTCGCTCAATTTATGGACTACGTAATTATTCAGATTATACTTTGCAATGTTATAGTTGGAACAGAAAGTCAAATGTCAACTTATATACCTATTATACTTCTTTCACCATTTATAAAATGGGGTAACATTAGGCAGCTGAGAGAACTACTGCAGTTCTACTCATCGTGTTTAATCCTAACGTGAATATTGAAATAGAACACAAACATAAACATGCATTTCAAATATACATTGCCCACTATATAATGTGTAATATACCTATGAGAGTAGTGAACTAATTAAAACGGATTTTAGGACAGCTGAACAGATAAAGCATGGCTGTTTTTATTTTAAGTTGGTTTCTTGCCATAGAGTCAAGACATTTTAAATTCATCTTTAGAAAGTAAACTGTTTCTTTCCTTTTCTCTGGTGCCTTCAGCTACACACAACAATATCTGAGAAGGCTGCAGGGGGACTCAGACAGCACACACTGTCAGCCTAAGCTTTGAATTGTCTTAAAATTCCAATAATGTTGAGTGCAGAGTGCTTTCTGCCATCATATTTTCCATTCAGTGTTATGGCTCGTAACTTGAAATTGGGAATTGGCTTGTGGCATTGAATTCTAGTCCGCTTTGGTGCTTTAGTATTCAATATTGCTTTGATTTTGCATCAAACCACAACACTGATTTTACAGCACAGCTGCTGTTTAATTGACTTAACATCAATTTAAATTAATTATACAAGGAATTGCTTTGGGTATTAGGAGCTTCCAGAATTTGTTATTTTGCTGGTAATGACTGGTTTTAACCACCATTTCTCCTAATGTCAGAACTGTTGACCATTATAGCTTAATAAAAACCAAAAGAAAGAACCATGGATGCCATATATCAGAAGCAAGCAGAAATTTCTGGAAAAGCTCAGCAGGTCTGGCAACATCTGTGGAGAACATTCTAATTTATTTGTTTTGATATTAACAGTAGGACTTCAACATACCTATGTTCTGAAGGGTTAAGTGAAATTTATTTTTAGCCATCCCAAGTTACTAAAGATGAACATTGTTAGTTACAAGGCTAGAGCTGAAGAGTCCAATTTACACAATTGTAACGTCTCTATTCTTCACAAATACTATAATACCATTTTTTCCTACTGGCTGATTAGCTATGACAGTAAAATATTGGTTCTACAAGCAAATTTGGTAACTGCACTTTCAGAGACTGGACTTTTGACCATGCTCAATGTAGAATAGGAAATTTGGATGAGTATTACCTATAATTACTGCTTCACTTATATCTAATACAAGTAGTGCAATTTTAAGATGTAACAGAAAATAATTTAGTCATTTGCTTTTGCATTTTCACTTGAGTTAATAGTCGGTGCTAATTAATTGCGATGTGTCTAAGCATCAAATTCAGAAGATAATGCAAATTTGGTTTGTGGGATGCATGCATCAGTAAAAACTTTCATGGGAACCTTTTCTCAATGGGCAAACCCATTTATTGCCTATAGTACCAGTTAAAACTGATGGTACTCATCTACTAATTTTCAATTTTAAGCAGGTGGCTCCTTGCCAGTCACAGATTCATTTAGTCAGGTGGCAAATATTATAGTGAGAACAATAGCTAAGAAAGTGTTGACTATTTTTTGGCACTTGCTTTTGCACAATCCTTTCAGATACTTATTTACTTTCACGTTATGTATTTCAATACCAAAGGCCCCCATGGTAGTTACCAGCATATTGTAGCAATTAAACTCTAGGGGTTTCACTCATATGAAACATTACAGACAGAAATATAAAAGTAGTCATTATCATGGAATACCAACTAAGTATCACCATTCTTAGCACTTCTTCATATATTTTAATTATAACCCTCATATCTGCATCATCCATCTGCTCACTTCATGCCTCTGTAAACCCAGAAGAGGTGAGAATCAAATTAATTACAATATATCTTCGGGCAACTAAAACAGCAAATTCTGGCAAATCTAGCGAGGAACAAAAAAATGGGAATGTGCTAATTTGTAATTTAATTTGAATTATGCTTTTAATTTTCCAAATAGAGTTAAAAGAAACTCGAAACTCCTGGAATAGTATGAATGAAGACCGTTTTAAATTGTATGGTGAAGCTTTCCAATCCCCTTTCGGGAAATTATTTACATCAATAAATTGTAGGCAGAGTGGTTGCTATGAATCAACTTTAAACCTAGATTTTCGAGAATGAGAAATTCAAATGAAAGCTTTTACAGAAGTAACAGAATACAAAAAGACAAAATAAAATCTGATGGGCAAATGTTATTTTGAAATGTGATTTTCAATATTTTATTCAGCTTAAAAATGTATTTTACATAATAGAAATATTAGCTACTGTGGAAAAAATAAGCCAAATGTTTTATTTGTTAACCAAAAATAGGCTCACTTGTGCTTCCTTTGATTTACAGTTCTTCAGAACTTTCAATTTGCCACTTTTGAATTTAAGCCAGTGGGTACAGTCTACTCTTTGCAGATGCAAAGTTACAATCACATTACCTTGCCATACATATTCACACCCTCTCATGACCAAAGCAACACTTTTTAATTTTAAATAAAGAAGTTAGCAGATGTGGAGCTAACTAGATTGAAGAACGAATTACTCATATTGCTGCTAGAGTCTGCATTTTCATATAAACTTCAAATACTTTGTAAACCGACACATTGATAGATTACATTTGATTTCTAAAGGAAAGTTGCATGCCATTTTGCAAACCTTGTCATCACAGTAGTATTGGCAGGGGTTTGTTTCATCCATGTTTGTTCTCTGTGCTTTAAAGCCATGAGTCTCAAGAAACTGCAAGTCAACACCGTCCAGTGGGTGAGACACAGATACGTGATCATCACATGGTATAATAGTTTCTACACCATTCACTGAATGTACCAATGATCGTCGCTGTCTTTTGATGCAGTGCGAGAACTGCTGTTGCATTTCATCCCCTGCAACTATCCTGAAAACAAGTTAAATTATATTAAAACTGTTTGGACGGATAGCATTTAACTGAAAGGAAATCATAAGGAAATGAGATTAAAACTCAACATTTTTCTTAAATTTCTTATTTTTACACACATTGTGAGGCTGCGAAGTTGTTGGATGTTATTTTTATTCACTCATGGAATTTGGACGTCTGTAGCTAGGCCAGTATTCACTGCCCTTACCTAATCATCCAGAGGGCAGTTATGTATTAACCTCATTGCTGTGTGTCTGGAGTCACATGCAGGCCAGACCAGGTAAGGATGATTAATATCCTTCACTGAAGGAAGTTAGTGAACCAGATGAGTTTTTCCATTAATTGACGATAGTTTCATAGTCATCATTAGACCCTTAAATCCAGATTATTTATTGAATTCAAATTCCACCATCTACCATGAGAAGATTTGGAACGTCAGCTGAGTTTCTGGATGAACACAGTCTACCGATAACACCACTGGGCTATCGCCTTCCCCTATTATGACACGCAGCAGTTAAGATGGTTTTCTGCACTCTTTAGCTTGAGAATGTTTGCATTGTAACTTGTTCAAAGTGTGAATTAATTACAATATTGCAAGGGCAAAGGAACAACTGAGGCTTTAGTACATAAGACGACCAACATACATCATCTTAACCAACCAAATTAAGGATTGAGAAAGAAACTGGAGTGAAATCCGATTTCAAAAAAAAAAAGGAGCAGGAAGAAAGATCGGATTGAGAGAGAGAGAGAAGAAGCAAGGAAAAAAATGACTTCATAAAATCTTATTGAGAATTTACTACAGGAAAGGAGGAGATGCAAATGTTTAAATTATTCCCTATTGGGCCAAAAAAGGTGAACTTGGATTGTACCAACTATTATCACATTGCCTAAACATTTACTACATTGTGTTAAATATAACAATTTATGGTGATTTATTGGTATCTAATGTTCAAATTCACAATTTCTAAGAAATGTCTAGGAGACAGAGGGCGAGGTTATATGTGTGCCAAGCAAATAGTGGAATTGCACAAAAATCAACAGGATTTAGAGATTCACAATTCATGTATCTCTTAAAGCACTCATCTTGGGTGGCCAATTTATACATTAATAATGGTGCATTGATTAATAATGTGTTACTGTTCCACCAATATCTGGTCCGCTGTAATTTAGTGATTTATAAAAACAATACTTTGTTGCAGGGTAAAGGAACAAATAGTAAACTTACTTTGGTAACTGTTGTTCTTCTGACCTGCAAAAGAATAACTTGAAAATCACTTAACTAGTACTGATGGGCATGCTTTGTGAGCATACAAATTTATTCTCACTGTTTGTGAAAGCAGGGACATTCTGTACTTTTCACAGTCACGAACAAATCTGCTCGGAAGCAGGTAGCTTGAGACTTTAATCCAATTTTGCAAATGGTTTCAATTTAACATTCACAGAAGCTCTGCATTTTCTATTACCACATAATAAACTATACTTGTTCAGTAAGTTTTCCTCTGAAAATGGAATAAGTCAAACGTTTAAAAGTAAAGAATTCAACAAAATTCATTTCAGCATACGAGTAACAGGTGTACGTGTTACAAATTAATAACTGCTAGGAAAGGATTATGAAGCCACTTAGAAACTTTGTGAATTGCAATCGGCTGACCATTGACAAGTTTCTTAACTGTTTCCGAGAAAATTCTGTATTTTAATTTAGAGCAATAAATAAAATCTAGTGAAACATTCACATTTATTTCAAAATACTTTCACTGCCCATTGTTTTAGCCAATGAAACAAAGTGATACAAAAGATCCCTTTATACACTGTCATTCATATTGACAAACATCTCTGAGCAAAGGAGGAAATGGACTCTAGAAATGGAGAACAGGCATTGTACTGTGGTTATTGAACGGTAGAGGGCAACAGTGATAAAAAGAACAGGTGAAAAGGATTTTTTTTTAGGAAAAGGGAGGGAGAGAGGTAATTCAGATTGTGGGACAACATGAGATGGCTAATTGAAAGAGCAGCCAATCAACGATCAAGCAAAGACAAGGGGATGAGTCAACAAATGTGGGAAGAAAAGTTAGCTATGCACAGCAGCATGCGGAGGCTCCCATTGCAGATTTAATGTGTCATGACAGAAGGAAAAGTTGATATGGTTAGCAAGAGAGGCATGCAGGAACTGATATTACTCAAAACAAAACAGTTTCAGTTTAGTATTTATTAAGATTGAATATTGTTGAAAAAGACACATTTTGTCAAAACTTTTCACCTTGCACTCATCAGGACAATTGGCAAGAAATACCAAAGTAAAGAGAAAACAATATTTATACCGCATGAGGGGAGAGTGCCGAATGATTCACAAGTAGACTCTGATTGGAAGAAACATCTATCTGGATAGACAGTTAGCCACTGTAAAGAACTGTGAAAGTATGACAAGAACTGCAGAACATCCCAACTTATTTGCTGCCAACAAAATTGCTATTTGTCACATTTAATCTTAAAGTCCACCTAAGGTTAAACTAGCACTCTCTAGTGAGGCTTTTTTAACCTCATTTTATATTCTTGGAAAACTGAAGCTATTGTTTCTTGTCATGGTTTTGGGAGATTCTGTGGTGGTTGAAAATGGTGGCCATGGGACTGTCAGCAATAGTGAATATTGCTATCTTTTCAGTGATCTGTTTCCTGATTTTCTTTTTTTACCCCAATCAATATTGTCACAGGATCCATTGCATCAGGAAAACAAACTTTGAGAGAGTGGAATTTCAGCAACCCGTTTCAGTTCTACAGGCTAAAATCCTACATATTTGCTTCTGCCACAAAGAAAGTTTCTTGAAATAGCAGCATGTTTGTACGGAGTTTACTGCATCCATGCTTGATAATTGTAAGTGATGGTTCATCTCCATCATATGAGGACTCTCATTAGGCAAATCAGATGAATGAGCATCTTTTCATGTCCTTTGGCAGGCAGGAGGAAGGGAGTGTTGATTGGTTTCATCACCTTTACATAAAGTGTTAATTTCTCTTTAGACTGTCTTTTGCGTAAGCCACATTGGTTTCCACAAATATTGGCCAACGTGTGAGAGTCAAATGATGGTGTGGCCATTTGAAGTCATCTTTTTAGTTCCTTTTAGAACTCTCTCAGTCCATGAAATCCCCAGGTATTATACTGGACAATGGAATTCAATACTCCATATTTTATATCACCACAAAAGAGTCTAAACGAAATAAAGGAGCAATGTGCTGGTTCTCTCTCAAGAAACTCACTATTCTCAATGATAAAGTTCCACTCTTCAAACTGCACCAGCCCCCCCCAAAAAAAGATTCAGAACAAATTCTCTCCACGTGACTCAAACTGGGCCAGTTAATCTTAAGAGATAACAGAGTGTGTGGAGCTCAAGGAACACAGCAGGCCAGGCAGCATCAGAAGAGCCGGAAATTTAACGTTTTGGGTCAGGACCCTTCTTTAGGAATGGGAAGGGGGAAGGGAGCTGGGATGGTGATAGGTGAGTACAGGTAGGGAGTGGTGGGGATTGGTGAGTGGGATGGGAGGAGCGGATAGGTGGGAGAGAAGATGGGCAGTTTGTGTCAGGTCAAGGAGGCAGGGATGAGGCGGGTTTGGGGAGATTTTAAAACTGGGGAATTCCATGTTTGGGTCATCAGGCTGTAGGCTGCTGAGGTGGAATATGAAGTGTTGCTCCACCAGTTTGTGCATGGTGTCACTGTTACACTGGAGGAGGCCCAGGATGGACAGGTCATCCTGGGAGTGGGAGGGGAAGTTAAAATGGTTGGCAACCGGAAGGTGTTGTCATTTGTTACGTACAGAGCACAGATACTCTGCGAAATGGTCTCGGAGTCTATACTTGGTCTCACGTCTATCCTGGGCCTCCCCCCTACCCGCCCCTCTCACCTCACTGACCAATCCCCATCACTCCCCTATCATCACCCCACCTACCTTCCCCAGCCCCACCCCTCTTCTCTCTATTTGTTTCCCAACTCCCTGCTCCCTCCCCATTTCTGAAGGGTCCTGACCTGAAACATCAACTTGCCTGCTCCTCTGATGCTGCCTGGCCTGCTGTGTTCCTCCAGCTCCACACTGTGTTATCTCTGACTCCAGCATCTGCAGTTCTTGCTATCTCTCAGTTAATCTTAAAAGTATCTATTCTTCAATACTGTGCTCCACTACAGAACAAAAGACCATACTGAGGAGCTTGAAATTCCTATCAGTTTCTGCAAGTCAGAACATCTTTACCTACTAATGATTTCAAAGCAAGAATGGTTGTAGATCATGAGGCATGGCCCTCCTGACTTAAGGCCTGGGAAGACAAATGAGAACTCAGTGAGACTGCTCGAGTTTTGCTGCTACTGTAATCTTCGGTTTCAGAACCGGAAGATCTACAATTAACCTGAACTCAGTCTGAAAGGTGCACGAGAAATTACTACATTTTGCTTTCATTATTCTCACCAGACATTCAAACCATGTGAACAAAGTAGTTTATTTAAGTTGCTCGAGAAAACAGGCTGCCTGCTAAAGCTGCTCCAGGGGACCTCCACCTTTACCATGACAACAACTGAGTAAATGCCAGCCATGAAGGGGCAATATCAGAATCCTCCTGGATCTCCAATGGGGTCAACAGGAACGTGTTCTAGCGCTAACACTCTTTGGTACATTATTCTCTTCGTTATCACCATGTGTCTTCATCTATAGGGGGTGTCTATTTGCATGACAGAACTAACAGAAAATTCTGTGGCTTTATTCACCCGCGATCCAAGATAAAGTTGTGCTAAATTAAAAAGTTGTTCTGTGCTGATGGTGGAAAGGAACAATTGGTGATACAAAGGAATATTTGCAGTGGCAAAGGGACAGACACACTCACACCTATAGAGAGGTTGGAAAAACATCATAATCAATGATGGTGCCATACCGCCGTCTATAAGCATTCACAATGTGATGGTGGCAATTGCTCATGTGTGAAATTATCTAGGCTCCACAATCACCAAACTGTCACTTGATGCTGAATGCAACATATGTATCACAAACAAAAACAAAAATTACTGGAGAAACTCATCAGATCTGGCAGCATCTGTGGAGAGAAAACACAGCTAATGTTTCGGGTCTTTCTTCAGAACTCATGCATCGCAAAAGCTGCGGGTGTTATGTTCAGCTATGAGAACGTAGACAAGTACAACCTGACCAAGAGCACTGAACAAAACCACAACACATTCTGAGTGCACTCCTCTGCAGTGGTGAGCCCTGGGCAACATATGCCAAAAGCAGGAGAAAAATCTGGGCAGTTCCAAACCTTTACTGTTTTAGATGTATTCTTGCCAGCTTTTGGCAACTCAGGTTCAGGATTATGTTAATTACATCAGCATATACATATTACCTCGCCAACTTCTGCACTGGCTCATTGTGTGAATGAAGGCTACATATCCAAAGAGCTTAGTGCAGTGAATTTCCAATAAGTCACACATTTCTGCATGTTCATAGTGCTGCTACAAAAATGTGAAAGCTGAAGATGGTGGATATTAATACTGACAACTGGGAGACAATCACAAATAGTCATGGCCTCTGGAAACTGACTATTTGAAAAGGCAGCGAATCATGCACCCTCTCAGCACATCATACTTATCTGCAACAAAGCTGCCAAGCCTGTGTGGGTCCAGTACACTGGACAACACTTAACAAAAAGTTACCACCGAAATGCAAAACACTGTCCTATAAGACAAAAGACCGACATAATGAATTTATTTCATTGAAGCATACAACAATTTGAAGGGGCTTGATAAGGTAGACATGAGATGTTGCTCCCATTTCTGAGCCATCTAGAACACAGGGAACAGCCTCACAATAACAGACTGATCATTTCAGATGGAGATGAGAAGAAATGTCCTCAAAAGGATTGTGAATCTTTGGAATCATTACTCCGAAGGCTTGTGGATGCTCCATGATTGAAGATATTTAAGGGTCTGATAGACAGATATTTATTCTCTCAGGAGATCAAGGGATGTGTGTAGTGGGTGGGAGACCAAAGTGAAAGTTCAGCCATGTTGTGTGATTCACATTAAAGGGCAGAGCAGGCCTGACGAGTGTATGGTCCAAGCAAATATTTCTATCATTTTCACTATTCTAGGAGAGAGCTGCAGCCTTTTAAGTGCTGTTGTTTTGCTATTTTTCTGCTCCCTGGCCAAGATTATTACAGACTAAGCTCATATTATTCAGACTGGGAGGAAGGATCATCAGGAAATTCAATGAGACCAGCT